TTTAGCTCCTGTTTAGCTAGTTTTAGCTCCTGTTTAGCTAGTTTTAGCTCCTGTTTAGCTAACCTAACTGACGTGTAATCTCAGCTGGTTCTGACCCGAGTCTTCTGCCTGGGTTCTACAGGAGCTGGGGACCCCCAGACCCGGGGGGCGGGGGGTGGCGGTGGCCACCTGGCAGTTCTTTGAGGACATGCAGGAGGCTCTGGGGGGGGTCCCGGCCCTGGAGCCCCCCGTCATCGTGGCCTCCTTTGATCCAGAAGCGGACTACACCTGCTTCCAGCTGAAAACGGTAACTTTACCTCCATTTGTCCTCAAACAGCTGCAGAACYGGTTCTGACCCGCTCTGCTCCCCCAGGAGGATTTTGAGCCCCCAGAAGCCGGGAACAGCTCAGGGACCGCATCCCCCTCCGCCCCCCCAGAGTCCCCGACCCGATCCCCCAAAACCAAGAGGGTGAGGAGGAGCGAGCCGATCCTGGACTTCCTGAAGGAGGAGAGTCTCAAAGAGCAGAGGAGACACGAGGAGAGCGAGGCTAAAGTGGACCGCTTCCTGGACCTGTTCCAGAGGCTGATCGACAAGATCTGATCCTGGTCCCTGAAACCTGGTCCCTGAAACCTGGTCCTGATCTGATCCAGTTTAAACCCGTTCTTTCCTTCATGAAACTAACGTTGAACAAAATGAACTGAAGCTTCTGAAAGAAAATAAAACTTTATTGATAAAAACCAAACAGGAAGTAGAATTATTCCCTGAGCGCGCTCAGACCAGCCAGTCTGTCTCTGGTGGGTCCTCCTGGACTCTCGCCCTCTGCGAGGGGCTCAGCAGGAGGTGGGGGGTCCAGGAGGTCCTGGTGGTCCTGGTCCACCTGCAGCATGTCCTGGTGGTCCTGACAGACGTTGTGCAGAAAAGCACAGGAGGCGATGACCTGGGGGGCGAAGGTGGGTTTGACCTCCAGGGACCTGAAGAGGGTGGACCTCCACCTGGTCCTCATCAGTCCGAAGGCCCTGCGGGTCACGCTGCGGGCCCTGYGGTGCTGCTGGTTGAAGCGGTCCTGCAGGGGTCCGGGCTCCTGGTAGGGTGTGATGAGGCAGACGGGGGAGTCCAGACAGGGGTACCCGTCCCCCCCCAGCAGGAAGTGACCCGGTGGGGGGAAGCCTCGGGCTCTGTAGAAGCTGCTGCTCCTCAGGACCTGGGCCTCTGGAACTGATCCTGGGTAACCCACGAAGATGTCCAAGAACCTGCCGTCGGGTCCACAGATGACCTGCATGTGGACCGAGCAGAACCCGGCCCGGTTCAGGTAGTCCCCGCGGTGCTGCTGGGGGTCTTTGATCCTGATGTGGGTGCTGTCCAGGACCCCGGCCACGCCCCYGAACGCCGCGCTCCCCGACAGCTCGGCGAACCTGCGCCCGGACTCCTGCAGGTSCTCGGGCCTCGGGAACCGGACGGCCCGGTTCAGGTGGAGCCACATGCTCTGGGCCACCTTGTGGATGACCCGGTGGACCGTGGACCGGGGCACGTTGAAGACTCGGGACACGAAGCGGTAGGACAGCCCGTGAGCCAGCCAGTACACGTAGATCAGGACCTCCAGCTGGTGACCCCAGCCGTGGTCCTGGTCCCGGTGCAGGAGCCGCTGCAGACCCCGCAGAGTCCTCCTGCTGACCCCAAAGTCCTGCTTTAGCTCCGCCTCCTCGTCGAACCACAGGCGGAGGACCGGAACGTTGTGGTTCAGTCTGCAGTACGACGCAGGAGGAGGAGTGGTCTGAAGAACCAACACATTACATGTTTACTTCAGCACTGTGGTATCAAGTACCACACACTGATACTACAGTAAAAGTACAAGTACTTTACCAAAAACTGACTGTGGTAAAAGTTAAAGTCTCCTTTAGGAATATTACTTGAGTAAAAGTGTTAAAG